ATATTTAATTGATGAAGTAAACATATTTTTTCTCAATAATTTAGGCTTTTTTAAAAATTAATTATAACAACTTCTTGTTTGATATTTTTATTATGAAATAAGAAAAGTAAACCAAGACTACTTTTATACATCTATATAATATGTTGTGATTTCAAGGTAAAAATGTAACCTTTTGACCCAAAAGACTTTGAGGATTTATGATTAATAGTTTGGATAATTATAATGTTCTTCTTATTAAGCACGAAAGCATGCCAAATATAACTCTATGATTGTGTATAGTTCACACAATAGTAAATATACAAATATTGATTAGGGAATAAGTTCATTCAAGTAGTCCATATAAATCTCTAACTGTACGAAAATTTAGTAGTTTGTTAAGTAAAGAGATTCATTACGATATTGTTGTTGACCAGTTTTTAAACTGTTAAACTTAAGATATTAATAATTACATTTTAAATATTTAATATTACTTTAAACTACTAATTCATGGTACGGACGTACATAGTTTTTGTTCTCAAGTGAAACTTTATTTCATGTGACTAAAGTATTTGATACATGAAATTTTTAGCTAAATATATGTGATCAATTAAAAAATAATTTTTGGTTAGATCATTTAGATCAATTTACAATCTAATTACAATTAGATGATATATTATTTTTAAAAAGTCTCATACTTTCATAACTATACGAGATTTATGTATTAAGAAATATTTATTTAAACACTAACTATTTAACACGCAACTCTTTTTTAAAGATAAATATATTTTTGGACTAATTTTTTTTTATAACAAGATTAGTTATGTTTTGTCAAAGATAATTTATCCATGTGGGTGAAAAATATATTTTATGCATCTATCAATTTTTTTAAAAAAAGTTTTTTGTATAGTAAAAATTATATATTCAATAATTTAAAATATTCTTAAATGATTTATAAATTGAGTTTGGAAAAAAAAAAAAAAGTAAAATTATAAAACTTCACCTCATAAAAAAGCCTTTTTAAAAAAAATAAAAATTGCTCTGTTATTTATTAACATGGACCTCAAAGATCAGAGAAAAGAATACAAAGCATTGGCAAAAGCGCCTACGCGAGTAAGCTACCGCAAGAGTTCAGAGGAAGATGTGGGTTTTATCCGGCGCCATCCCTTCTTTTCCTGCATACTCTCGTACAGCTTCAATGTCGAAATTCAGGGTCCGTTCAAGCTCTGGAGTTTCGGTTCACCACCATGAACATATTTTTGTCCCAGAGGTAAAACTCAAAAATGAAAACTTGAAACTTGGCCTAGCGCTATGTTTGGTTACAGAGAAACTGCAAAAGACCTGGTAGGGAAGTTCAAAACTGCAGCTAGACAATTGCATTTTTGCTTTTTGTCTTCTTAGCTGAAAGCTAAGATCCCCATTCCTTCTAGTTTTTTTTTATAATACCCAGCTCAGTTGTCTGAACACTATTATGTTTGGTGCGGCATGGCGCCTCATATTTCTTTGCTTTCACTGATTATGTATGCCCTGTTTGATTCCAAATGATTTCGTTCTCTGTAACTCATAGAGACTTTTATATGTCAAAATAGATTCACTTTTTTTATGTCGAGCAACCTTTGATCGACTAGTTCTCTAATTTTATCTCACTTCTTATAGCTCCTTGAATTGCTTGATGGTATGAATCTTGGATAGCAATCTTGGATTTTAATTCAAAGAAGAGTGAGAGTACCCAAAGTTATATGGTATTCCTTTATAAATTCATTTTTATTTTAGGGGGAGAAGTATAAATCCTATTCGGAAATGATAAATATAGAGTTCACATGAAAACAATTTTAGGTGGTATTAGAATGAGGCATTTCAAATTTCATCAAAGTTCGATGAAATTTAAAATGCATCATCCCGGTTCTACATAAATTTTATATGAATTTAATTTTTAGTATTTATTTCTTATTTTAGGGAGAACTTTCATTATTTTTCTAGCTGAAATAAATATAGATTTACAAGTCCATTCAACAAAAGTTTTAGATTTATATAAAAAATTGTCTTAATATTAAAAAAAAGAACATGCTGTAATTCTATACATTAAGATTGTTACCAAAACTAAGTGGTATTTTGTTAGTAAATGGATTGGGAACTGAAAATGGCCTTGATATCTCTTACTTTCTACTAGGATTGAGAATTAAATAATGGGAACTTGGTTTTCTCTGCATTGATTGGTCCAAGAATATTTATGGAACCGTGCTGCAGAAAAATGGAATTGTACTTTGCTAGATATGATGTATCCACATTGACGTAGGGTAATCTACAAATTAGTTCTTGTGAATGAGGCACTTAGGTCTGCTGTCTGTATTCTGAACCACGTGATTTCAGAGTTAGTTCTTTGCCATTAGAATGATGCATTCTTCGAACTTACTCCATTATTAACTTGGAAGATATATGTTGTCAATGTTCAGCAGTATACCTTCACAACACTTTCCATTAGTATGAGAAGTTAGGCCTAGAGCAAATGAACAAATCTTTCTCAAGTATTTAATAACTATAAGGGCTATGTAACTTATGGTGAACATCCAGATTGAAGCATGATTGAAAATCGGTAATTGTACTATGTTTTCCTCTATCTCCTTTGGCTGAACTTAAAAATCAGTAGTGATACATAAGCTTTCTTGGATTTCGAGGAAATGTGAAATGACGGGACTCTGAAGAAATAGTTTTGGATTAGAATAAAAAAGAAAAAATTTCTATCAAATATATCAACTAAAACAGCATTTTTCAGTTGGGGTAATTTTATAGTTATCTTGTGAACCAAAATAACTTAGGACATAGCATGATGAGTTTATTTATGTCCATTTCCCTATTGCCAGACACACATACAACAGTTTTTTGCATACCATGCTCCCTTGGCTGTTATAAATATAGAGTCTAGTGTTTGTCCCAGCTGTTAGGTGCTGAAACTTTGATGCTTACTGCTAATGGAGTGAGTTTATTCTTTTTTCTCTAATGGAGGTGGTGAAAGCAGTGGACTCCCTGTATTCAGAATTCAGAACAGTGGATAACTTGGTAGCAGCCAATAACTCCCGTGTTCTTAAAGCTTTTCAGAATGCAAGGGTTGGATCTCATGTGAGTAATCTTTTTTCTCTTATGGACTTTGCAGTTAATATGCACACACACACACACATGTGAAAACAAACATTAAATAACACATGGTTTTGGTAATATTCAATGCATCCTGAAAAAACTGATAAATTTCTTGATTATGTTTTTACTCTAATATGAAGGAATCTTATTTCAAAATTTTGTATGGTAGTCTTAATAATTCTTATCATTTTTACATTTATAATCAGCATTTTGCTGGGTGCACTGGCTATGGTCATGATGAAGCTGGAGGACGGGAAGCACTTGACCAAGCCTTTGCAGAAATCTTTGGAGCTGAATCTGCAATTGTCCGCTCTCAGGTTAACATATGTTGTTGATTGTATATTTATTTCTCAGATTTTAAACCATTTGGAATATCTGTTGATTGTCTGTTCCTCCCATCAGTTTTTCTCAGGTACCCATGCTATCACTTGTGCGTTGTTTGCGCTCCTAAGACCAGGTGATGAGGTGAGCTATGAATTTGCATCTTTCTGTGCTATGGTTTCTTTTCAGGTTTCACTTTAGTAGCATTAGACTTCCATTGTCTACTCAGCAGTAAGAATATGGCTTAAAATTAACTTGTTTGTCAGCTTTTGGCAGTTGCTGGTGCTCCCTATGACACTTTAGAAGAAGTTATTGGAAAGAGAGACTCTAACGGTCAAGGTTCACTGAAAGATTTTGGAGTGGAGTACAGAGAAATTCCTGTATGTTACTTATAACTCATGAAGGAACTTTGACTTTTTGGAGTTAATTTTCTAAGATTAATGTTATTGCAGCTGGCTGAAGATGGACGACTTGACTGGAATTCACTTAGTAGTGCTTTGAAACCTCATACAAAATGTGCTCTCATACAGAGGTCATGTGGTTATTCATGGCGGCAAAGTTTAAGTGTAAATGAGATAGGAAGGGCAATAATGATGATCAAGGTAAGGCATACCCAGTGGAAGTGTTTATTATTTTAAGTTCATCCAGTTCCTATTAGCAATTCAAGTTCTTTCATTGAGACAAAGGATTTGAAACCTTTCGGTTGAGCACTTCTCTTTTGGCTTGAATTATTACATTTTGCATCGGCACTAAAACCCTGATCGGATGCTCTGACAATTGGAATGTTGTATTAAGTTAACTTTTCTTTTTAGTTTCAATTGTTTCGATTAAATTTAACTAACTTGAATACAATGATATTAGCACAACAAAACTTCTTACGTTCCCGGGATGTCGAGTGTTTTTTTTTCCCCAAAATATTGTTGCAATTTAATTACAGTTGGAGTTAATCAATGTCAAGACTCTTGTGTTCTTTATCTTCCCCCAATTGATGCCCTCCACATTTTTTGTACAGAAGCAAAATCCAAATTGCTTGGTCATGGTGGATAATTGCTATGGTGAATTTGTGGAAAACATTGAACCTCCAATGGTGGTAAGTGACAAATTTCTTATTGTTTCAAAAGGCAGGTGACATGCTTTAGTTAATGATGGGGCAGGGTGCAGATTTGATTGCAGGCAGTTTGATAAAAAACCCTGGCGGAACAATTGCACCTTGTGGGGGATATGTTGCAGGAAGGAAAAAGTGGGTGGAAGCAGCTGCAGCCCGTCTCTCTGCACCAGGACTTGGGCTTGATTGTGGTTCAACCCCAGGTGACATTATGCGAGCTCTTTTTCAAGGATTATTCCTTTCATCTCAAATGGTTGGTGAGGCAATAAAGGTATTGGTTCTGCGTGCTCTGAGTTTACCTTCTTGTGTTGCTTCATATGGTATTTACATAAATTTGCATTTTTGTTATATAAGGGAACCCTACTCATAGCTGAAGTCATGGCATCTAGAGGATACAAGGTGCAGCCACTTCCTCGTGTCCCTCGTCATGATACAGTACAGGTTTGTTCTTTCCAAGATTATTCTATGCCATTTTCAGTTAAACCTTGGGAGTCAATAAATCATTAGTTTGGACTGCATAGGTTCCTCCTTTTGGTCTTTTTCCCTGGTTAATGACCAGGTGATTTTCATTACCAATCCTTTGGGGAGAATAGAAGGAAAAAGTTTAATTACTTTGCATTGGTTTTCAGGCTGTACAACTGGGAAGCCGTGAGCTTCTCCTTGCTTTCTGTGAGGCTGTACAGAGGAGCTCCCCTGTTGGTTCATTCACTAAACCAGTTGCAGGTGCGACTGCTGGATATGCGTCAGAGGTTGGCCATACTTAAACTTTCAGATTCAATCTTATGGCTTTTCAGCATTGGTCTTTAAATTTTTCCATCATTTTATATTGCAAAATGTTGTTAGCAGTTTGGAATAAATACAAGAAATACCTTGGAAGTAAAAGACAAGTTTTCATTATTTTGTGTGGCACACAAATGCATGCAGTGAATACCTATGCATTTCATGGAAGTTTTCACTATCAATAACCTTTTTACTTTTGTTTTTTCTACTTTCAAGATGGCATATATAAAGATCCATGAATCTCTCCCTCATAAAAGAAAGAAGAATGATCCTTGAATATAAAAAATCCAGATTTGTTTCCTGTTCCAAGAACTTTTCCTGATCTTTTGGTCAAAGCATTGATTAAGATGGTGGCAGCATCGAAAAGTTTATGTTGGACTGTGTTGGAGTTATAGTAATTCTCAAAATGGGGAATTTACTCTTTTCTTTTATGAGCACGCGGTTCCTTTCTGTTGTATTTCTCTACAGGTGATCTTTGCGGATGGAACCTTCATTGATGGGAGTACAAGTGAGCTCTCATGTGATGGACCTCTAAGAGAACCTTTTGCCGTGTTCTGTCAGGTGTGTTCTTTATCCTGTATTATTGTATTCATTGACCCAAGCTTGTGACTGATTGCTTCTTGTCTAAAATGCACTATAAATAGTAATTTAGTTTGAACTTTTTGAAAACTTATTGTAACTTATTATCTTCATAATTCTGCTTGCGGACAAGTATAAGTGTAAAAAATGGAATATAAAAAATAATAAGTTAGTATCTTTCATGCAAGCTTAAACTTCTAAAAAAACTTCTTGTCATTTATGATATTATACCTCGCGAACTAGGCAATGATGCATAATGACAAGTCTTAGAAATATCTTCAGCCTCATATGAAGGAATGTGGTGTTGGATGAGATGGCTGATTTTTGTATGCTAAAAACTCATTAAATGCAGGGTGGCACCCACTGGACTCAGTGGGGATTAGTTCTTGGTGAAGTCCTGAAATCAGTATAAGATTCATTTCAGTGAAGATAGAATAGCAGAGATCCAACTAGTTAATTCAGAAACTGCACAGAATGATTATCGACAATTTGAACTCGAGGTATTAACTCAGTTTTACAGTAATCTTTTCGTCTGTTATACTGTCTACCGGCATGCATGATTATGTTTGCGGGGTTTTCCTAGTTAGAGAGTGGAAATTTTACTACAAAGAACTTATGGTACACCTCCATCTGACTGCAAGGTGAAAATGGTCATTCTATTTCTGTTAGGTTTACTGTTCAGCTGAGCTGAAGAAGGGTGTTGCTCCTTGTTGAAAAGTTGCAGAGACTGGAAGAATTTTGGATGCTGCAGAAGAGAAGATAATTGATCCGTTAATTTTCCTTTTTAATTTTTTAAATTAAAGGCATTTTTTGATGTACTTGATAAAATATAATAAAATAAAAATAGATATTCATTAGAGATAAAATGAAGTTTGATTCGAAAATATTAAAAGATTAAAACTAATAATAAAGTTATAAATAATTATAATAGCTCTATTTATTAGATTTTTTTTTAAAAATACATTAAATATATATTAACAAATTTAAATTGTTATATTATTAATAATAAATTGTTCAATTTCAAACAATTATTTTAATTAATAAAATTATGTATATAACAGTGAAATTTTTATTCACATTATTTGATTTCATAAAATTATAAAATTGCAATAAAATATTTTAACCAACGAAATTATTTTATAATATTTTAGTATTCAGTTAACAAATAAATCATTCAATTAAATAAAAATTTTAAAATACTAAACAATATCATAACATATTGAAATTTTAAAAAAGAATAATTAATGTTTTATGTTTTTATATATAAAAGGAGTAACTTTCAAGATAACTATCTTATTATTTTACTTTTTATTTATTTATTTATTTTTAATATTGTAAGCGTAAATTTGTTGAATTGAAAAATAGTGTATATATTTGATATATGCAAATATTTTATATAAAATAATAGAAAATTAAATTATAAAAGTTCAATTATTACACAAAATAGTAATTAAATTATTACAAGATAAAAATTGTAATATATTTATATTTAAGAAATTTTAAAATTACTCTTTCTTCTTAAAAATATAAATGAAGCAAGAATATAAAAGAAATTTAAAATAGTGAAAACCATTCTAAATAAAAAAAAAATAAGGACATTTTTTGACTTCATATTTTATTATGGTATGTATATTAGTATTCTGTTTATGGTATATAAAATTTTTATTAATTTTATGGTATTTAAATATAAGTATAAATAAATTTTTTATTGATTTTATGGTACTTCAATATGAAGAAACAAAGTAATTTTTTTTTTTTAATTTTAAAATCGTTCATTTAATTTGTAAATGTGACTTCCTTTCATTTAAATTTTATGGTACAGAACAACCCCTTGATTTTCTTTGTAAAGTTGCTTCCAAACGGAAAAAACGATGTCGTTTAGTTAAAAAATTCAGCAGAAGTGAAGATACGACGGCGTTTAGTCCGCATTGCAGTGCAGAAATAGAAAAAGTAAAAAGATGCGGTGAGCGTGGATCGAACACGCGACCTTCAGATCTTCAGTCTGACGCTCTCCCAACTGAGCTATCCCCGCATTTGTGATCACCCTGCCAACAATTACTTGAAAGATTTAACGTCGCTGAATGGATATCCAGGAGACGCGTGGCGTTTTTCCACAGGCTAGTACGGATTAATATCTCGAGCAAAACAGAGATGGGGAGCCGGAGAGTGAGAGTTTAATTACTACAAACTACATAGGGTGAGACTGGCTTGAAAAATCCATTTCTGGTTCCTATTTAATCCGCGAAATGAAACCAAAATCAAGCGACCCTTTCGTCTAATCTTCGCCATGACAACAATCTTACAAATTTCCATTAGCAGCGTCATACTACGCCATGGTTTTGACAAGGAATTTATCAACTCTTCATCCCTGTCAAGGGTAAATCTTGGTTCTTTATGGGTAAACAGGTACAGAGTGAGGGCTCATGGGGAGCATCAGATATGGTGTATGATGGGTAGAATCGAAGATGGAATCTTACTGAAAGATGAAGGGCGTATGATGAGGAAGAAGAAGAGGGTGGTTTTGGCGAGATTTAACCAGGGTTTTGGGTTTAATGGCGGCGGCGGAGGTGGGGGTGGCAGAGATAATAGTAACAATGCGAGGATTCTGGGTAATCTTGCTTTGGCTGTTGGCTTGACTTATCTTTCAATGACTGGTCAGCTTGGCTGGGTTTTGGATGCTATCGTTTCCATCTGGGTATCTCTTTCACTCTCTGCTGGCCCCTTAGACTACTGTAGAAGTTAACTTACGCTCGCTAAACTAATCTGTATTTCACTATTTTATACTACTGAATATCTATCTGATTGATTGATTTATGCTGGGTTCTCACTGATTGATTGTTTCAGCTCATCCTGTTGATTGTACCTGTTGTGGGTTTGGGAGCTTTTCTATGGTGGGCAGGAAGAGATATTATTCAAAGCAGTGTAAGATAGGCTTCTCTAGTTTTTGCTTTCAACTTTCACTTTTGAAAAATTTTCTTTGGTGGCTGTCTATAGTGTTATAGGTAGTTTGAAGTTAGAGAATGCACATATGGATATTCTAATCTTGAGAAAAAAGAAAAAATATAGATAGGATAATGGATCTAGAAGCAGTCATTTTTATGCAGTAGCTGCTGATAGCCGAGTGAATGGGTGAGTTAGTGTGGTGTAATAAGGTCAGTTTGGGAGGTGGAAGAGGATTGAAGGAATATCTTGTTAAAGTGAGTCAAAAGACTCAACAGCAAAAATCAATAAGTCCCTGTAAAAACTAAATTATCCTCCTCCTGTCCCCACCCCTTCTCTCCTTTGCCCCTTAAAATAAGAAGTTATAACCATTTCTGCCCAAAAGCTTAAACTAGTATTAGAAGCTCAATTTATTAAACATGTTACATTTTAAGACTTACCTTCGAACACAAGCAGAATCAAGCTCAAGAAGAATTGCACATGCAGATAATCAAAATACCTAACATTTTAGCCGAAGAGAGGCTCGAAATTGGTATCTCAAGTTTTGATACCATAAGTCAATAAGTTGTTGCTAATTTTCTCAAAAAGGTAAATTAGTCGGAAGATGCCGATTTATTTTTTATATTGTTTCTTTTATTATTCGCTCCAGTCCACTTAAACAGACCCTAAATATTGTTTACAAAGTACGAAAAACTTGCATAATCTAGCTTCACATTTAGAGGATATTTTTCTTTTAGTTGAGATTTCACTCCAAGACATTGTTAGAAAGCAAGAGGTTAAATATCCAGTAGATTTACTGTGTATTAAGAAAACCAATGTGAAATGCATAGGATTGTCGGAGTTTTGTGCAGATTTAGTTAGGAAATTCCCAAGTTGCTTTCTTTGGACAATAGAGAAATATCGTTATTTTATTTTGATTGTTTCCTTTAAATGTTATGTCTGTCGTTAGATCTATCTATGTATTATATATCTCGATGGATGTCTTTGTTGATTAATTTTCCTTCAAACTATCTGGTGTATGTGCAGTGTCCGAACTGTGGAAATGATTTTCAAGTTTTCAAGTAAGAGACACTAACCTATTACCTTTTAATGAAAACCTCTGCATCACTTGCCAAAGAGTTTGAGTTGCGAATGTGATCTATTGCAGATCTTCTTTGAACGATGAATTGCAACTTTGTCCCTTCTGCAGTCAGCCATTTTCAGGTGAAGACTTGGTATAAAGTTGTGTATTTTAGGATTCTACAGTATCATCCTATCAAGACCTAGGCTCCCTTACCAGTTTTAATGAGGGTTTAACTCACTGTAGTGGTCTTTAGGTCTCTTCTGTCATTGCACTCCTCTCTTAAATGTAATCCTTTTAGTTTCCAATTTCACTCCAACATTGTAAAATGTCATATCCACTGGCGTCTTGCCTGAAATCCCAAATAGCACTTCGCTCTCATCTACTTTCTATTGTCATCTTACAGCTGTTTCCTTGATATGTTGAAGTTAGATTTTTTTGCCTCTATTGCAATTGAGTACATCTGACAAATTAAAAATGGAATGTTACTTTCGTGTGCTTTCCATGGTTGATGATATTTGCTTGAACTGCAGTGGTAGATGACAAGTTTGTTAGGGATTCTGTAAAGTTCTCCAACCAAGCAACAACATTTGGGCAAGCATTTAGTGACTTCTCTCCCAGTTCCAAGAAAGGTTCTTTCAACACCCTTTTCGATATGGCTTCTCTATTCTTGATTATTTGTTATGTAAATTCTCATATCAAATATTAAATTTTGAATTTGACGGTCAAAGTCTTGAAATTGGGTTTCACTAATCACATTTCCCCTTTTTTCCTGAAAAAGCCAAGGACTAATAGTTCATAAATTTAAACCTCTAGTTTTCCAGTGTTGAGTTATTACTAATCCTTGATCATTATTATCTGTGCAGAGAAGAAGTATTCAACTGCAGTTGTTGATGTTGAAGCGGAAGTTAAAGATGCAGAATGAGACACTGGTACTTGGTTTATATACGTCACTTAAGATAATCTTGAGTTGCATGCTAAGACACGATAACAAAATTTTTGAAATGTGATGTCTGTCTTGTTCGAGGACCTGCTTTTTACCATCTTGAAGTGATATGCTTGTCAGATGCCTTACACTTGCACCATGTTTGCAACAAATGAATTTAGCCAAAGAAAAAGGTGGAATTCATTTGTAAATGTGTATTTTTGTGTTTAGAATGTGAATAAAAATGTAATGTTTAAATGAACCCTACAGTCTTTTATGGAATTCACTTGATTTGCTAATGAGCTGGTGCAGAAACTTTTCATTCCAAAATGTGGGGATACACTTGGAGAAGAGGACTTACCACGCGGGGTGAAGAAAAGCAAGTTATAGAAATGTCTAAATTTTGATAGCCATGTGAATTAGTATTATATTTTGTATACAGTCTATTCACATGGTCCCTTGGTCTTTGTATATCTGAAATGTTCTCGGAAGAAACATGTGAAATCCAGATATGATTATTGGCTTCCTTCAGTAGTATATTGATCTCTTGCATGTGACCACACTAACTATGCTGTATATGTACTATTGCGTCAAAATTTGATGATTGTTTTATGAAATTGTGAGCCCAATATTGTTGAACCTTCTCTGACTATTGATAATTTAGGTTGTTTAGTCTTGGAGTTTGGTTTTTTATGAAAGTCATTTCACTCGAATAATTCCTATGTTGTCAAAATTAAAGTTACAAAAGAAAAGTTTCTTGCAGCCTTGGTCAAATACTGTACATAACATGTGTAAGTCTTTCGAGATTACAGAAATCTGGGATTATCAAAATTGACTGTACTAGTGGATTTATTTATGTTTCTGGACATGACAAGACACAAAACACTAAGTTACAACTGCCAATATCAGTAGATAAATTCAGAGCTTTTCAGAACATTAAAATATTCTTATTATGCTGATTTACTTCAGATACATCTACAGACCTTAACAAAAGCTACTGGAATTATCCCCCTCCAACCTTCTGCACATTGGAATATGCAAGTGAGTCATTTGAACAAGTAGTAGGTGAGTAAGATATATCCTAACTAAATAAGATTATTCAAAACCAGGCACGGGAAAAATTTTCTGATGTCTGGTAGGCACTATACCTCTTTATTAATTTTATAGCATTTCATGTTAATTTAGTAACCATATGAAGTAATTACATAACATTATATAGTTATATAATGTGAATTAATGCAAAGGGAGTTTCTGGATTGCTATGAATGTTATAAAACTACTGTGGGACATGATACCTCCCAAGCATATTTGTTATTGAAATGACCAAATTAAAGGCTTATGTGGAGAATAGAGTACCTCCTTTTCCTCATCCTTTGTGTTTTTAGTGAAATACTTGTAACCTCCATAAGCCAGCAAGCCCCATCCAGCTAAAGACACCGTTACAAACTGACAAGCAAAATACTCGTAACAGTCAATAAGCATTATACACTTAATCATTTCTATAAAATAAGTCAGAAGTCAAAAAGAAAGTATCCTCATAACTATCATCCAAGTTTACTGAATGATTAGAAGAAGCTCACTTGTTCCTGTTTCCATTTAGATGGATGGAGAGGATCCTCCCAGAAGTTCACCTTCAGAGATCCATGGTGATCTGAAACATCACAGACAGTAAATAACCACAAAAAAGGTTAATCTCAGTGTCACTACAATTGTTTCTTATTGTATATACGCGTATCGAAAAATAATTACAACAAGTACATAGACATCGAAGAAGGAGAAGAGTACCGGCACCGCCAGCGAGACCGCGCCGTTGAAAAAGGGAAGCGGCTTGAGTAGTTGAAGGTGATTTAGGGAAACAGAGTCGATGAAGATGATCCTTCGGGGCTTGACGAGCCACTGCCGTCCAAGCTGCCATGATTCCAGTTCTCTATTCTATTGAGTAGCAGGAGTTAAGAAGTAGTTTGGAAGAAGCGGGAGGCCGAGAAAAACAGAGCTTCTGTTCGGAAGTTGGAAGAAGGTACCGGAAGCAAAATGGAGGAATTAACAACTATCATCACTAGTTTAAACGTGTCACTGCATCATTTTCTTTATTCTCTGCGTAAACGGCATCGTTTGGACTATTCGTTCTGGTCGGTTAGTTATATTTGGTAGCCTGAATACTACGCTTTTCATTATTATATATTGTGTTATAATTAGGTGTTTAAAATTTTTATTGTAATTTTATTTTTAAATTTATAAAATTATTTTAATTTTTATATAATTATAAAATTTTGATAAAAATAAAATATATATATATATATATCTTTTATTTAATCTAAAAATTACAAGCACTAAATATTAACTTTTAAGACCTTCCTACTTATCAGAAAGTTCTGATTACGCACAATTTAACTGTCAATCTAAAAAAGGTATTATGGCCCTGCAAAAGATGTTACTAATTGACAATATCTCTCTCTCTAACCTGGATATTTCTAACAGCGAGTAAGCTGCTAGATGTTCGCTGTAAAGGATTAAAAGCTAACACAGAAAAAAAAAGATGCAAAAAGAGAGGAAGATCAACATTGAGATACATGAAGGAAGGAATTCTTCCTATTTCGTACAAGGATACTACATGACAGTATAATATATCCATATTAACATTCATAAATTTGAAGATTAGCGTCTTCCGATGAGTATAAAACGTCATGGTTTTCTGTGCTTCAAAGTGGTTGTCGCAACTTACAGACGGGAACGAATAAAAATTCTCTTTTGTTTAGCTATTGGAAGATCTGCTTCTTCAATGCCATCCTCTGGCACCTTCTTCGGAGGATCAGCCTGGCCTGCAGCCTCGGCTGATGCCTTAATCTGCTGCTTCACTTCATTCATGTCTCCTTCATTTGTTATATCTGTCTTTGCTTGCATCTTTTCTACCAATTTAATATCATTTTGTTTTCTTTTCCTGCTCAAAGAGTGTAAAAGAGGTCGCTCTTTTAAGCCTTCCTGCACAATCTGATATACTTTCTTCCCACCTGAAATACGCATGGTCCAGATATGCAGTTACCTAAGATGAATTAAAAGCAATATAGGAGAGGAAATAAAGTCTGATTCAACTAGAGTACCTACAATCCTAGGTTTCTCCCCTTGCAGAGCTATAACATTTGAACCTCTACCCTCTTACCAAAATGGTATGGAACTTACCGTTAGATGAAGTCTTAATGGTTTGTTGCAAGGCTAAGTTATTATTCTTAAAATATAATATATCCACATCATAAGTATTCTCAAACTCCCATGTAATTTACCATGATAAAATATAGAACAATATCTAAGACACAGTAACTCAATAATCTGAGAACCCAGCAGTCCAATCCGCATAAGAATAGGTTTTGTTGCCAAAAAAGAGCACTGTGAAAAGTAGTTTTACAGATCAAAAAGTACCTAGACAAAGCAAAGCCAAGATTTTTTTCTTAAGTCATTCATCTCTTTACTCAATACTAGAAATATTAGCAAAAATATACAGTAAGTTAGGTTTATATTAAATTGGCACTTGTAATGTTTTTTATCGCTAGATTATCTTGCTAATCAAATCCTCTACGCAAAAAGCTTAATTGAATCCTAGTATCCCACTGATCATGTTTTGTTTTTCCTTCAAGACTCATTACAAGAGACATATAATCAAAAAACTAGAAGAAAGGCCTACTGCAACCATAGCTGAGCCTGAGACCTTCCAACCATCCACTTTATAGAATAACTGGGAACAAACCATGACACCAATGGATGGGTGGTAAACTGGTAATATATGGTTGAAACTTATTGCTTCTGTCAGAGTTACAAGGTTGTCTTTGGTTTAATTCTCATTTAATGCCCAGTCAATTTACTTTTACCTTCGTGTTAATATGCTTTCGTGTCTTTATATTACACTTCATCTTGAATTCCACAAAGAACTAGAATTCCATTTCTCACAATCAAAGGATTAAGTATTCAAACACTAATATTCTAATTATACATATTGATTAAAAATTGAATGGAACCAAACGCAGCTTCAATCCTTCTTGTATGGTATTTACTCCCAAGATGCCAATTTGGCTTCATGAACAATCCATAATTATCAACAATATCTGGTTGCAATCTAAACTTTCTACCAATTAAAATTCACAGACTCAAGCATCTTAAATCATTTGTGAACAACAGAACATAAGCAAAGTCCATATGCAGAGTCGAAAGGGTAAAAGAAACAAAATGAATTGTGCATTTATTAATAATCTCTATACCCAGCAATAGAAAATCCAATCAGAAGACAAATCTAAAATCACGAGATAGAAACACAGAGCAATTGAATAAAGCATTACGGTCAAACAATTCGTATATGTAACATCCATAATACATTTTTGCGTAGGTACATATTCACCGACCTGTGACAAACTTACGGGACTCATTCACAGCAGAATCTACGGTAAATTTCCCCACAGTTCCAGGAACCGTCCGACCCTGTCCCGTAGTCAAGACTGAGAGAGCGTTCTTTAAGACGACGGACTCCGTCGGTCCTAACGGAGTGCCCATTCCGGTAGCGGTGCGGACTACAACAAGCACCCGTAACCTACAGAAGAGTATGTCTCCGGGCTTTCGTGACAGGAACGCTGATCTTTTCTAGTGAGCTCTTTTGCAGTGCTAGCCTAGTTGATGACCTTCAGAATGGATATGTTTTAGTTTTAATTTA